TTCTTTTATTCCTTTTTTTTTTGGTACTGGGGACTGAACCAAGGCTGCTTAACCATTGAGCAACATCCCCAGCTCTCTTTTCTATTTTATTTTGAGGCAGGGTTTCACTGAGTTGCTTAGGGCCTTGCTAAATTGCTGAAGCTGGTTTTGAATTTGTGATTCTTTTGTCTCAGCCTCCTTAGCTGCTGAGATTACAGGTCTGCACTACCATGCCCAGCTTGATTCCTACATTTTTATAGCTTTTAATGATGAAAGGATGTTGTACTTTGTCAGATTTGGTTGTTTGTTTGTTGGGAAGCTACCAGGTGTAAGCAAAAATAACCAACATGGTTCCGCACCATAATGAAAATACAAATAACCAGGACCGAGGCCCAACTCAAACAGATCAGCAAGCTCTCCTTTATTCTACAGGGCAGTCAATCAATTTGGCAGGAGAAGGCTCATTTTCTGGTTACAGAAATGGCCTGGGGATTACAGAAGGAGTCTGAGTTTTATAATTTACAATGAGGGTGAATTAATCATTGGAGACTGTAGAGGTGCTATTGGAACAATCAGGGACCTAGTTGTGCAGGTTAAAATTTTAGCTCATGAAGGCAGTTGTCAAAAATTTGAAACTCATTGTCACTGGGAAAAGCTCAGAACTTTTTTTTTTTTTTTTCATGTTCACTGCTTATCTTCCTTCCTTTGGGACCCATTGTTACCTAGAGTTTCACTATTGGCTTTTTACCTTCCAGAACTCATCTGCAATGGGAATAGGTAAAAGTCCAGGGCCTAGCTTTTCAATACCTGCCTCCTCCTTTCAGGATTGATTGTGGTTGGGAAGGGATGAATGTTTGCTTTTGGTGGAGACGCTGGGGATGAACCCAGGAAGGGATGGAAGTTTGCTTTTTTACCTTGGGGCCCATTGTTTCTAGGAGAGGTTTAATATTTGGCTAGTTTCCTTTCCTCCTCCTGAGTCACACTGTCCCTCTGTTGGTTGGGGGTGGGGGATTCTTGTAGGAATATTATTTTCCATAGCCCTTCAACAGGGATTGAACTCAGGGGCACTCTACTGCTGAGCCACATCCCCAACCCTATTTTGTATTTTTTTTAGAGACCAGGGTCTCACTGAGTTGCTCAGCACCTCAATTTTGCTGAGACTGACTTTGAACTCCAGATCCTCCGGCCTCAGCCTCCCCAACCACTGGGATTACAGACTTGCAGGACCACACCTGGCCACCATGTGGTTTTAATCTTTTGTTCTGTAATATTATGTGTCTTATTGATTGATTTGTATGTGCTAGTTTTTTATGCCACAGATAAATCCCACTTGTGTTTTGTTTTTATTGACATTGTTTCTTTGTTTGCTTTACTTGAGATCAAAACCAAGGCATTGTGCATGCTAGGCAAGCACTCTACAACTAAGCTACATCTCCAGCCTTTATATTTTTGTTCAGAGTCTTAATAAGTGGCACAGGCTAATTTTGAAGTTTCGTCTACCTGTTTCAGCCTCCTGAGTAGTTGGGATTACAGGCATGCACACCATACCAAGGTTCTCAAATTCATAGATTTTTTTTTTCTTCTGCCTGAGCTAATCTACTGTTGAAATTCTCTCCTGCAATTTTAATTTCCTTTGTTGAATTTTTCAGTTCCAATATTTCTCTGTGGCTCTTTTGTTAAGTTTGCTGAATTTCTTCTTTGCTTGTTGTTATTTTGAATTGCTTTGGGTGCAGTTTGTAGATTTTCATTTTCTTGGGGTCAGTTACTGGAGGTTACTTTGATAGATTCCTCATTCTTTGCTTCTTCACACTTCTTGAGTATACATGTGGCTGTCTGCATGTTAACTTTGCAGATTATCTTTTGTGGGGAAAGACTTTCACTTCAGGTGACTACAAGAGTGCCACTTGAACAGGGTGGGGTGGCTCTCCTTTTAGGTAGGCATAATGGTGGAGTCTTCATGTAGCTCTGTCAGCTGTAATCAATGTGCAAAGTCTGTATGTGACTCAGTGGCCTGCATTGCAAGAACTTGTGGCAACAGCCATGGCAACACAGCTGGTGTCCTGTCTGTAGCTTTTAGATAGCCACTTGGGTTCCAGGGTACATATGTTCAGAGTGGCTGCAGAGCAAGGATCCTGGATTAGAGACTTGTGGAACCAACTTCTGTGGCACTTAGGAACTTCTGGTCCATGAGATCATTAACCAGGGTATATGTAGGTCACCCTTACAATCCTACCCTGAGACTCTGAGGTGTATTCTAGCAGCTGAGGCCCAGGGAGAGGACATATAGCTATGGCTCTGACATGGGGTGGAATGGGGCAAACCCTCGAATCTATGCTAAAATTTACATGTTGTAAACTTAATCCCCAATGCTGTTGACAGGTGGGCCCTCTAAGTGATGAGGTCATGAGGCTTCTGTCCTCATTAGTGGATTAATGGTGTTATTACAGGAGAGAGTTGGCATGGGAGTGAGGTGCTGATGAGTTTGGCCTCCTTCCCACTTGTCTCATACTGTCTCTTTCGTGTATGCGCTTTACTTCTTTTTGCCCCAAGATGATGCCCAAGAAAGCTTCAGCAGACATAGATCTCTAATCTTGAACTTTCTAGCCCTTACAACCTAAGAAATAAATGTTTTTGTTGTTGTTATTGTTTTTAAAGAATTACATAGTCTCAGGTATTTTTTTGTAGCAGCACAAATATGGACCAAGACAGTAGGATTCTGAGGAAGCCCAGGCTCTGGGGGCCATGGTGCAGCAGCAGCAAAGACCTAGGAATGTGGGCCACAGCTGTGGCTTAGGCCTTGCAGTTCCTAGCTCAGGAACAGTGCAGTGATAACACCTTGTCCTGAGAAGATGGGGCACCACAGCAGCTCAGGCCTCAAAGATGGTATGGCACAGAGATGACTCCACTCCCGGGAGGCTGGGTGCCACAGCAGCTCAGATTCCAGAGTGCAAATTTGGTTCTGAGGAAGAAGGGCACCTCTGCTCTTTGGCCTGAAGAGCAGGATGGACTAGCTCAATGGGGGCTCTGCTTCCCTGAGAGGTAGGCACGCTGTCAGATTGGCCCCAGTACACACAGTTGCATGATTCAGGCAAAGCTCTGTTTGGGGTGACACAGGAACTTTTTTAGACTGATATTTTCTCCCTATTATTAGAAAATAGTCCTTAAGTGTTATATAATTGAGAAGTGTCACATTTTCTCTCTCCTGCAGACTTATATGATACCAAAGCCCTACAACTCATTGTACATCAGGCATTCTGGCAATTTTGTTCATTTGTTTATTTACTTAGGTACTGGTAATTGGACCATGGTGTGCTTAACTACTAAGCCACATCCGTAGCCCTTTTATTAATTTTTTATTGTGAGAAAGGGTCTCAACAAGTTGCTTAAGTCTGCACCAAGTTGCTGAGACTGTCCTCAAACTTGCGGTCTTCCTGCCTTGACTTCCCAAGGTGCTGGGATTACAGGCACATGCCACCACAACCAGCCTATGCTAGCAATTTCAAAAACATTGAAGAGCTTGTGTCATACATGAGTAGGCTCTTCATAAGGGTAATTTATTTTACCTAACACGTTTGTCCTCTTTTTCATCCAATATTCTCCTTCATGCTTTTTTGGTTTGTTAACCCTTTGTTTTCACCTTGGAATTCTTGGAAAATCTTCTATTTGCCCCTTTTGTTTAGTCTTGCAGCGACTTGCCCAACATGTCTGCTCCTTCTGGCTATTTAATTTACTATGCCTGTCCAGTTGATTAATCCCTAGTTGTTTATACTGTGCTTGGGCTCATCTTACGTTTTTGATATTTAATCTAGTTGCTAACACATTGTCAATGACATTTTGTAGAAGGATTGCAAGACCAATAGGTAACTATACAATTAGCTCTTTTGTCTTGGATTAACTGTAATGTAGAGAGGAGACTTCTAAATGGACCCTAAATGGAATAAGTTCATCTCACCTCAATGTATTGAAGATAAATCACATTGAAAATAGTAAGTCACTTAGTATCTCTATTCACACATCTAGTGAAAGCCTTATAACTTATAAGGTTCAGACACACTCCCAGGAGCACACACTCATTTTTATTTATTATGTGCTTTTGATAAGAAAAAAATAGCATTGCATAAGTATCAGAGATGATGGTGTTTGAACTCTTGGTAAGGTAGTCAGAGCAGCTCTTTGTGATAAGATAACAGGTAAGGAGTCATACTAATATCAGGGAGCTTTCTATACTGGGAAAGAGCAAGGGTGAAATGCCTGAGGCATAAGTGGTTTGGTGCTTTTAACACTGAGGATGTGTTTTTGACGTGGGGAAAAATAGACAAGGATAGATGGTAGGTTACACAAAATTCTTGCTAGAACAGGCCTCTATTTCTCTGCCTTTCCAGTAATAGTAAAGGGAAATAATAGTC